CCAATTCAGTTAATAAAATAACATACACTAATGTTTAGTCATTCTCATTATAGCAGAACATCCTTACAATACTATATTCAGGAAACCAAAGAACACACCTACAAATTATAATAAAAACCTAAGCAATATGCACAGGGGATATGAGTTTGCCTGCATCAGCACCAGGTATGTAAGTAAGGAGTTCTGTATAGTATCATTTTAGTATATATCCTTTTCCTGTATTAAAACTTTATCATACACGTTTTCCATTTAAAATGATCAAGAATTATTAAAGTGTAGTAACTGTTTCATGAGTCTCCTTTTCTTCCTTTTGAGCAAACACAGTAATATTGACTGTGACTGCCATCAATAATATACTGCAACTTGATCCATCCAATAATGTTGTCACTAACAGCCAACTTTGATAAAATAACATCAAGCAAAAGGACTACTTGCCCCATGAAATATATCCTTACCCCTGAGCTGAAGAATTGCTTCTGATGATCTTGACACTGTTTGATTAATGAAACATTATACAAGGCCACTGTTCTTATAGAATAGTCTACATTGCCCGTATAGATAAGAATTGATTCGATGAGACTGAGTGTAGATACAAAGATTATAGTAATTATTTTGTAATCTATATATAATTGTTATAAATCTAGAGTGTCAAAATAGGCTACTGGGGTTGGAAATATTAGGGCATCTATACATAAAATCAATGCACCTTTCTAATGGAGCATTCATTTTCCAGGTCACCATCCCTGCTCACACCCATGTACTGGTTCATACATTTCAAAGACCTAGCAAGTTATTTTATCTTCACAAAAATTATATGAGCTTGCTAAGCCAGTACGATTGCCCCATTTTTCAAATGATGAGTCAGAGAAATGCCTTACCTAGAATTTGAATATCTTCTTTCCAATCCATTCCCCCAACGTTACATCACACTACTTGTAAAGGCCCATGTCTATAAAATGGTAAACTTTGTTTTTTGTTGGGAAACAAAGCTATCATCATAGTTTTTATTCCCTGTAGTGTTCCTAAAGTAAAAATGGCTTACTTCTGCATCAGAAATTGGCTCTAAAAGCACACACACACACATGCACAGAACCTAAGATTTTACTTATAGTTAAGCAGCCTAAACAAGTATACAGGCCTAAATCAGTATAAGAGCTTTCCACACAATACCATGTAATTCTGGGCTTCTATATCGCTATTCCACTGAAAGTAGATTTTTATAGTAATCTCCCTAGCAAATTTAAATTGGATTTCAGTACTTGAGCCTTGGTGTCTAAAAATGATAAAAGTACTGTTTTTGAGATTAGAAGCAAAAGAGGTCAGCCTCCTGTATTTCTCTACTCCTGACATGAGCCTGACTTCTGGTTTCCCTGTTTTAGGCTTAGCTCTAGCGAAGCACAAGTCATGCCCGCCTAGGAAAGCTTTTGTGCATATCACAACAGCATTAGTCACTGCTGACATGGCCATCACTCTTGCTCTTCCCAGTATTTCTTTCACTCTTTTGCTGATGCCAATATGAAAAATAGTGCTGGCACAGCCTTAAAGTCACTCAAAATCCTCTTTTATTTATATTGCTAACTTATTCTTAAAATTTTGTTTTGCAAAGAAGATTTAATGATATATGGAGGAGCAATTTATTTAAGAGTTTCAGCTTATAGGCTTTTTAAATTGAGTCTATTGAGGTATTCTACAAACTAAATAAAGACAGCTACTAAAAAGCAATCAAAGACCAGAAGTGTGTGTAATCTTTATAATTGAACATAAACAGGCATCATAAGAAGACCTGTTCCTCCTCCCCATTGCCTAATTAATTGTGGTGGAGTTTAATCTTCCATTTCTTAGTTTGATAGGGTGACCCTTCTGTGTCACTGGACTTGTGTCATCATTAATTGCCATTTCTTAATTACAAAATTTAGATTTACAAAAAATAAAATCTTATATTTTACCGCCCCATGATTTTTATACTTCCAGTGCATGCTCTCTAGTCTGTTAAGAACAAAGTCTGAACCCAGCCAGGGTGGCTAAGTAGTTGGGCATCAACCTATGAAACAGGAGGTCACAGTCCAACTCCCAGTCAGGGCACATGCCCATGTTGCTGGCTCAATTGCCAGTGTGGGGCGTGCAGGAGGCAGCTGATCAATGATTCTCACTCATCATTGATGTCTCTATCTCTCTCCCTCTCCCTTCTTTTCTGAACTCAATAAAAATATATATCTTTAAAAAAATAACAAAGTGTCAGATGTGCTCATTTTCAATACTGCTTACAAAAATGTTCTCCAGAAGGCCTACATATATAACTTAACTGATAAAAATGATGAAGGAGCTCTAGCCGGTTTGGCTCAGTGGATAGAGCATTGACCTGCAGACAGAAGGGTCCCAGGTTCGATTCTGGTCAAGGGCACATGCCCTGGTTGAGGGCTCAATCCCCAATAGGGAGCGTGCAGGAGGCAGCCAATCAATGATTCTCTCTCATTATTGATGTTTCTATCTCTCTCTCCCTTCCTCTTTTAAATCAATAAAAAATATTTTTAAAAAATTATGAAGGGATATTAAAAAAATTATTCAAAGAAAAAATCCAGTCTAAGGACATAGGAACTTAAGATATATTGCTATGATGAAACCAATAAAAGCTGTCAGTTTTTATGCCATGTATAATTCTTCTGATGACTTTTTAATCCAAGGGGTATTTTTCATAATGATTAATAGGAAGGATTTTATCATAGGTAGCTGTATGGGCAGGGGAGGGGGGGGAGCTTACCTATATGCATAACATGTCATTTGTAATAAGTACATGTTTTAATATTAAAGCACAATGAAATTATAACTCAGTAATAATCCACAGCATAATGAAAATTAAATTTTAAAGAAAGTTGGCAGAAAGTCATCTAAAACCAAAAGATACTTTTGGAAATGTTTCAATATCTTTATACATTAAGTTTCAATTTTACATTTGTGAAAGGATACTTAAATAATTAATGTTACATAGTATTGGTGATTTTTCTTTGAAGTTCTTTAGAGGCATTTTAAATTAATTTAAAACCATGATACAACAGTTCAATTAAGATTTTTAAAACTATATCACATATACATACATACCTAGATACATAAGGCTCAGTAAAATTATCTCATAGTTTATACAAATAAACCATGTTGCCTTTATAAAATATGGAGAAAACTGCATGAAGCTAATTAAAACATATCATTATTGTATATACCATTGTACCATTTTTTTTCTATGAGATATGTCAGATCACATGCTTTACTCAGCAGACCTGGTTGAATTTATGGTAGAGAAGTTATATCATGACTTACAGACATCTTCATATTTCACTTTGATTTACATATTCTTCAAATCATGCTTGTAATCATGACAGATAATTAGAAAATCACTTATTATAAATAATTTACACATCAAAAAGAGTGACCCTATATAATAAAAGGGTAATATGCAAATAGACTAAACGGCAGAACAACTGAACAACCAATCAAAGCATAATATGCTAATGATATGCTAAGGCTGCTCAACCGCTCGCTTTGATGTGCACTGACCACCAGGGGGCAGACAGTCAACTGTTGACCAGTCACTATGACATGCACTGACCACCAGGGGACAGATGCTCCAACTGGTAGGTTAGCTTGCTGCTGGGGTCGGCCAATTGGGACTGAGCAAGATGGGCCAGACATGCCCTGGAGCCCTCCCATGGTCCCTCCCCAGCCCGATTGTGCACCGGTGGGGTCCCTCAGCCTGTCCTGCGCCCTCTTGCAATCCAGGACCCCTCAGGGGATGTCAGAGAGTGGTTTCAGCTCAATTCCACAGGCCACTCCCCTCGGGAGGTCGCCAGAAGCAGGGTTCATAGCTGGTGAGCACTGCTACGGCAGCACGAGCCTCTCCAGATCGGCAGGCACAGTGGGGCTGGGATGAGGGGGAGCAGCAGGTAGGAGCTGCACCCGCAGGCCACCCAGAGGGTGCACCAGGCCTCTAGTATAAAATAAATTTTTGTGCACCAGGCCTCTAGTATAAAATAAATACACAGGGATGGACAAAAGTAGGATTGCAGTTGTTCATATGGAAAAATATATAATTCAAGAGTAAATAATAATACAACAATAAACTCTGTGTTTCACCTACTCACAACTGCAAACCAACTTTTTTCCACCACTGAATATTATCACCTATGCTGTTTCATAGGTAAAATTTGACCTTCTGCAACTTTTACACTCACAAAATTTGAGTTCCAAAACAACATACATTCTTGGTTCCATTTAATAATAACATAGTCACTGATGATTAATGGAAGCTTACAGAAAATGAATAGTTTACATTGAAAGATGTATAAAAATCACACCCTATCTCCACTTTTTTTTCCCCCTAGAGTGCTCACTGCTTAAGGGACAATGAATCCCAATTCAGGTTCACATATGCAGGTATGTTCCTAGAGTGGAGTGTAATGTGCACAACTTTTCATAAACTTAATCACCTTTTATTAATTCATTTATTCCTAAAGTACATCTACAACAGTAATACATCAACAACTTTAGCTTAATTCTGTGTTTCATCACATTGAAAACATATTAAGTTCTCATTTTTCTATATATTGAAATGTTCTATACACTTAAAATATTACTTATTAATTACTGTTCCATTGTCTGTTTAAAGGATAGTTTGTCTTTGTCATAAAATACTGCAATAAACCTAAACATTCATATTTAGAAAAGTTGTAGCATTTTGAAATCAACATATAACCAACCAAATTCTGTGTAGTTCGAATAACTAAAAGATAACTGTTTGGAAATACCAATTTAATGTAAAAAATTACAAATTTAAAATTTAAAAAAATTTAAAATTTTGGTTACTTTATTGGGCATCTTGATTGGACATCTAATTTTTTCCATGCATCAGTAAGTAATTTAAGTTACCTTTAATGATTTAAAAAAAAAAAGCCCAGTATAGCAGCAATCTTTCACTGGGAGTCGTAAACAATTAAAGAAAAGTAACTTACCATGTTCCAGCCAGGGTAGAGGTAGTCTGTACCAACAAATTCAAAGTAGTGAGCAAAACCTTCCTTCAGCCACACATCTTCCCACCACACAGGAGTCACGAGGTCACCAAACCACTGCATTGGCAAAATGAATGGGTATCAGATAAAATCAAATCTACACTTAAAATGAAATGTATTCAACTATGATTATCATAACTGGAATTCATTCTTCAATTGATTTGGGGATCTTAAAATGTGTTGTGGTAAGACTATTGATTCATTTGACTACTTGGATAACACTAGTTGTTTTTTTATATAAATGCATTCAGAGAAGAACAAAAATAAAATACTCAAAGAGCACACACACACACATTTAAACTTTAAGAAAGGACTCAGGAGGGAAAAACTGGTCACAGTTGTCTTCAAATATTTGAAGACCTAGGATGTAGAAGAGGGGAAAGTCTTGTGTCTTATGGTCCTACAAGGAACAAACCAAGACTAATGGATGAAAATTAGGATTGTTAGATGCGGGAGACCCTCCAACAGACTGAGATGGCCAAGGATGGCAAAACTTCCTCCAGAGGCAGTGAGCGACATCACAGGAAGTACTGAAGCATCGCCTTCCAGAGGCACAAGCAATTCAGAGAAAACAGCAGCTGACTGAAGGAGCTGAAGGCTTTTAAGATGCCCTCACCTGACTCTCTCCAAGGTTCTATAATGAGGGGTTGGGCCAAAGAAATAGCTAAGATCCTTTCAAAAAAAAAAAAGGTATCATGATTAGCTCATCATGCCTTACTCTGAAGCCACTGTTTAAGTTCAGCAAAAGTTTAAAAGAATTCTTTTTCATTAAAGAAAAAATACATTATATTCCAGGAGCCATCCTAAAGACGAGATTCAGTGATGAATTTGATCATGCAGCCGACACTTTATTGTGGTGGCAGGGGGAACGAGGTGAGCTAGAAAATAAAAAATAAGTAAGCAAATGACCAACATAATCTCAAATCCTAATAAAGTGTGATAGGAATGGGGGAGGCATTGTCTTATATTGTAAAAGCAAGAACTTTCTAAGCAGGTGACATTTCAGCTCAGACTTTAATGATAGGAAGGAGCCAGCTATGAGAAAGCCTTGGGCAATAGGATGCTATACAGATCTAAGCGACCCTGAATGTGAACACTCTAAGTGGGAATGAGTTATTTAAGAAATAGGAGGAAATGGTGGACAAGTATCAAATCATGTACAGACAGCTTCAGGAGCTACAGTAAAGGGCTCGGTGACTGAGCGTTTCAATATTAAAACTAATGAACAAAATAAACTGGCAAACAATATAGAATCAGAGACATGGATGCATGGAACAGACTGACAGCTGGCAAAGGGGAGGGATATGGGAGGGGGACTGGATGAAAGAAGGTGAAGAGATTAGCCAAAGAACATATATGCATAGCCCATAGACACAGATAATGGGTGGTGTTGGTCAGAGGGTGGAGAGTTGGGGGCTGGATGGAGGTGGGAAAAGGAGGGCAGGAGTGGGGGGGGGAATGGGGCTATCTGTAATAGTGTCAAAAATAAAATTTAAAAATAAATAATATTAATTGACAAAAAATAAAATATCACGCAAGATCTCTAAACTTAAATACAAATAAGAGGAAACCCTGAATATGTTGATTACCACAGCATAAATGACATTGAAAAATATTTGTATTCATGATCAAAATGCAGGTTTCTGCTTTAAATTGAAAGCCTGCCTTAAGAACTGTGACAATGTGTCACAGAGGAGTTCTAAGCAGAGGAGGCACGTGATCTGTATTAATCTGAGGAATAGCAGGTACAAGAGCAAGACAGAAAGTGGGGGAAATGGTTAGAACAAGAACTTCAGAGGGGCTGGAGGTTTTTTAATAGAGAGGATAGTTCTTTAGAAACAACAAAAAAGGATAAAGGCAAGAGAGTATTTACTCTTCCTCCATCCAAGCCCTCAGATACACAAAAAGTAAGGGAGCCGGCTCGGGCCAGTCAGGTCCACCTCATAGGCTGGAGGGAAGGAAACATTCAGAAAATATGAAGAAGCTACAGGGAGTTTCCTTCAGCAGCAGTGGAGGCAAATCATAGTAATAAGAGTTGTTTCATTGAGCATATACTATGTGACTACCAGTATTCTAAGTGCTTTTCTTGGGAAAACTTCTTTAGTCCTCTCAATAATCCTAAAGTGGAAATACTATTACCGGCCCATTTTACACAGGAAACGGAGGCACAGAAGAGTTAAGAAACTGGCAGCTCCTAAGTGCCATGGTTGAGATGACAGATTCTTCAATTGGGAAGTCAGAGCGGGAAGGTCTGGGGGTTGTCAGGGAGGGTTGGAGAGTGACCTCACTAAGGGAGGGGTAGACTGGTCTGAAGATGAGACCCTGGTGACCAAGGTGAACTGCGAGGCTGCGATGCAGGTTAACAAGTTTGTTCCATCATGCCCTTTGCCCTGACTGACATCAGAAGAAAGTTTTGAATGAGCGCCAACTGGACCTGGAAGCTTGGCGCCTCTGAGCGAAACTCTTCCCTCAGCTCCCTGTGGATGGAGAGGAGCCACAGGTGAGCCTGCCCGCTCCCTGGGCACCTTTCACAGGCAGCCTGTGTGGGCAGAGCAGATTAATAGCTGCAGGCAGGCCCTGCACATCTGCCCTGCGTGGGGAGAATGCTCATATGTATGTGTTTCTGTGATGTTTTGCTGTGACTCGTTTGGAGATAATAATCACTTACTATGATTTCTTAAGCACTTACTACCCATCAGGTTCTGTGCTGAGTACTTGACATATATTATTCCTTCAATAAACACCAATCTTATGATAGAAAAGAAAAACAATTACAACAAATAGGTGGGAAGAGAGGGGAATGTAGAAAATAATTTGGTAATGATAGTGAAAATTGTTATATATTTCTCCCAGCAACTGGTACATTCCTTCCTTAGCCTGGCACTAACTACCAGGCTATAACAAGGAAATAACTCGGAATAAAGAACAAATTAAATCAGTCCTAGGAACAATGATGACATTACCAATGTGCCCTTATTTTGACAGAACTGTACAAGTAACTTGTGTCTAGGAATGTCCAAAAAGAAAACTGCTTTTGTTTCAAAAAAGTGTATTTTGAGCTGGAAACCCTTCTCATTAGTGCAGGAGAGGAGGCCTGGTTATCTCTGCCACGGATTCCTTTCAGTCTCTGAGGCAGGGAACACATGTCCAACCTGGCCAGCGTGACAGGTACAGGCGTCCTACAGGCTCACTGCAGAAGGCTGACATTTAGGTAAGTGGTCATGTGGACTGGACCCATTTATCATTAAGTCAGTATCCATGTACTAGCATTTAGCAGTTCACCTTCTTTAACTGACAGCATTTTTCATATCACTCTTTCTTAAGCTTGGCTAGCTTTTTAAAAAGGGTTTGGGGTTTCTAAAAAGCTGAAGTCCTAGGTATGACATTTCTGGTGTTTTCACTGAAGAATTATTCGTAGTTACTGGTAACCAGGACCGGTATTGCTTTCTATGAGCGTGAATGTTTATTGTCAGGGTTTTTTTACCCTCTCACTGGAATCAAGATTTAAATAAGCATTGCAAAACCTCTGTAATACTTCCCACTCATTGTAAGAAAGCGCATAAAATCAAAATGAAATTAATTTTATCTTAGCTTCACTACAAAGTTGGCTAATTTCCATATGAATTTCTACACATGCCCGGACAAAAAAAATCTCAATCATTGGAGAACAAAGAGTCTCTGGTGGAGTTAGTGAGAGACTTCCGAAGTGTCTGTGTGATGGGGAAACGGGAGTAACAAATTGATTTCAGCAAAAGCAAATTTTGACACGTGCACAAAACTCAGCCGCATCTTGCAGCAATGCAATAAATCATCGCCCTCGCTGCACTTACCATATATGCACACTAATAATCGCAAGAAAATAAAGCGAGGTTGACAAGGAGTAGTGACTGGTTTGGGTCTCAAAAGAGGCAGTGCCGTCCCACGCTGCCACCAAGCTGAATGACAGTTGCTTATTCACTGTGATCAGTGTGTTTGCTTTTGTTTATGCTGTCACCTGAGAAAAGCGACATATCTTCTAGAAAGAACTGCACCGTGCTCTCCCTATAATTAAAGCTTAATTGGGAGAATAACATCTTAGGTCCTAATCGAAGTATCTGAAATCATTCTATATTCTCAATCATGGGCAGTGATACTTACACCTGATCCTTTTTCTCATACCTGGTGACATATCTCATGAACAATGACCATGGTGACATCCAGCAAATAAGAAATAGATGACACACTGGGATCCAGCAGTATTCTCTGTTCCACAAAAATACTGAGTCCCCAGTTCTCCATAGCAGCATACGGATGCTTAGGCACAGCTAAAAGATCTAGAAATAGAATAAAACAATTCCAAAGGCTTTAACAAACATACCAGATTCAAAAGTCATAGCCTAAAAAAAAGTCAAGAAATCCTAATTAGAAGGAATACTTGCTCTTTCTTAGGAATGTTTCCCCCGAAATTAAACTACCTGCCATTTCTACATGACAGCAGAAATATAGGCTATCACTGTCCACACAGGCCACGTCCATTCATCACAGTTCATTTTCAGACCCAATGCAGTCAGAGGCTGGAAGTATCAGCACCATTATTGATGGGCCCATCCTGGTAAGTTTCAAAGAGTCAAGGAAACCAAATGCAGCAGGAATCCACAGAGTCAGAAGACATAGTGCCTTCGACTGAAAATATATTCAGTTCAATGCAGTGAGTACCGTACTCTTATTTTTACCTTGATGTTTTTAAAAAGAAAACATGTTCTATCAGGTTAAAAATGCGAAGTCATTTTTCTAAATTCTTAAATTCTAATTTATTTTTTGAGTTCTATTAAGAATAAAAAAAATGTTACATGCAAATATAGAGAAAACTATGATAGTGAAGATAGTGGCAAAAGGACAGTTGAAGGAACATGCGAGCTTCGGTTCTGGTCCTGCCTCCACCATTAGCTAGAGATAAGACATCAAGAAAGTACTTACTTTCCTGAGACCACAATTCCTTCACCTATAAAACAAGGTTATTGGCTTTCATTATCTTGAAAATCCCTTCCAACTCCAAAAATCTATGATTAGGTGATTCTAAGATTTGTGCTTATTTTAAAAGGTTATGGAGGTATTATAAACTTCTGTTAGGGTGACAATAAGTTCATGTTTTGATATATTCCCTCCACTCCAAACACATAGTGATGATAAATAAAATATTAAAAAGGAAAACTAAAAAATATCTGCAGGCTTGAAAATGAACCTCTCCATGGACCAGAAATGGTGCAAAAATGCAAATAGTGATTGGGTGGGAAACCCTATGCCTGCTGGGTTCTGGCTCCGGGAGTAGGCAGTGGCAGCTGGGACTTGGTTCCAGCAGGATGTGCCTCAGCCAAAGAGACTTAAGCCCAGTGCTTGATGCCGGGGTTGAGGTAGGGCATGCATGCTCATGCGAAGAGCTGCAAATAGCTGGTGCTCACTGTTTCCTGAGGAAGGTAGCAAATGGAAGAGCAGGGATTCAAACCCAGGCAGTCTGGCTCAGTGCCTTGCTCTTAATCACAATGACGCAACATTTATAGTTTCTGGCCCAGAAGTTACACTTCCTAATATAAACAAACCCTGGAGTAACTCCCTAGAATGCCAAGGGGAAAAATGGTACAAAAATGTTACTGCACTATTTCTGTAAGAGTGAAAATGGAAAACTAAATGCCATTCATGAAGATAAGGAGCAAGGGAACTGTGAAATAGATATAGTATAAAGGAATGCTATACAGCAATTGACATGAATGATCTCGCCAACAGATGCTAACACTATGTGTATCAACATGGATAATCTGAAAAACATAATGTTGAGGGAATAATTAAGATATAAAATGACCCTTACCATATATTACTTTAAAACAAGTAGAATAATACCATGTACTGGTATTGCCGGTGAATACTCACACATGCACACAAATACCAAGACAGATGGTAATGGTATATTGCACATACAATCACACACATATTCTAATGATAAATACCAAATTCAGAATCATGATTGCTTCATGGAAGACAGAAGGAAAAAGGGGTGAGAGACTATCTTTTAGGTTCCTGAACGCAATTTCAACTTGGAAGCTGGGAAGGGGTTGAACACATCACCAACAAGCAATTCCTGGGCGCCAGCTGAGTGTCTGAGAATTCAACTCAATTTTGACACCATCTACCTATCTACCTGAGGACAGACTCAGATTCCACAGGTTAAGGGCTTAGTCCTACAAGACTTCCCCCCAGCACACACCCAGGTTTACCTGTACTTCTGACAGATGCTATACATCAGAGGCTCCTAATGATACCATTCTAATTAACTAGTTATTAATAATAGAAAAGGAGCAAAGGGAAGACATTACAATGGGGGAGAGAACCACATAAAGAAGAGAGTCACATGCCCAGTAAAGTTGGGATGACATAGAAAAAGTACTTGCTTGTCAATCATACCTGGAGCAGAGGTGGTGGCCAGAGTGAGTGTGGCCACTGCAAGCCTGTGGAAATTTGGGATATCTAATCTCCTCAACAAAGAAGCTCTGTCTCTCTTATGCTCTTGGTTCCTCTTGACATGCTTGGCTCTTAGCTCACACGTGGCCTTCTGGCATTCTCCCATGTGGCCCACGGCCATGTGGACACACACACAATGGACTGATGGACGGCACTAGCCTGATGCTGAACTGGACCCGGCTCCAACATGGAAAGGAAACGCTGGACACTGGCTTTGCTTCCAGCTCCACTGAAGCCCCAGCTCCACTTCTTCTATGACTGGACCAAGGGAATTGGGACTTTGGAAACCCAGGGATGTAAATTCACAAAAATCAAGCCTTCTACCACATCCCATCCTCCTGTGGGAGCCTCTGGAAATGCTTACTCCAGCGGTACCCCAAGAACCCCACTCCCACGAGCAACTGGGAAAGACGAGGCATGTTTTTCTCTGCTAATACTATGACCTCCTCTCGGGTTTGATTAGTTTGCTAGAGTGGCTCACAGGATTCAGAGAAACATTTAACTCACTGGATCACCAGTTTATTATAAAAGGATATAACTCAGGAAGAGCCAGATAGAGGAGAGGAATAGGGCAAGGCATGAGAAAAGGCACAAAGCTTCCATACCCTCTGCAGGTCCACCCTCCCCAAATCTCCAGGTGTTTACCCACTCAGAATCTCTCTGAACTTTGTCTTTTTTTTTTAATGGAGGCTTCATTACATAGGCATGATTGGCTACATCATTGGCCATTGATAATTTCCAGCCCCTCTCTCCTCCCAGGAAGTCAGGGGGTGGGACTGAAAGTTCCAACCCCCCAATCAAAGGGTTGGCTCCCCTGGCAACCAGCCCCAACCATAGGTGAATTCAAAAAGTCACATCATTAACATAAGACAACTTTATTGCTGTAATTGATTAGAAAATTTCAAGGGTTTTGAAAGCAGTGAGCCAGGAACCATGAAGGAATTAAATATGTGAAATACATATTTAGTCATCTATATATTTCTTATGAATCACAATATCACACACAAGGGATATCAAATGTGTCTTCAATATTACTTTTTTAAAGCAGGTGATGGGTACATGAGTATTTTTTATGCAATTATTATTCATTATTTTCTTTGTGCCTTAAATATTTCATAACAAGAAAAAGAATAAAATTATGAACAGTCTTACAACATGATTGATTTTTTTTATGACTTCAACAAACATTTTCTCAGTATTTGCTGTGTCCTTAAGTCTGAAATGTATATTAAACTAAGTCAGGGATGGTCCCTATATACTGGACATTTTGAATAAAGAATGAGAACTTGACAGCTTAGCACAAGAAATAAAGAAAGAATGAAAAGTTCTGTGAAAGAGAAAGAAAACAAATCTGGTTGGAGAGGTTCTTAAAAGAGATAATATTTGAGTTGGATTTGAAAATATAAGATTTCAACAGGTAGACAGAGGCACTGTATGTATTTATTTATACAAGTATATGTTGAGCATCTCTTTTGCTCAATATAACCATTGTTCTCTACTTCAAGCTCCTTGCCCCATTCTCTCATGGCACTTATATTCATAGGTGGGTGTGTATAGGACAAGGAGGTCAGTTAACAAGTAATAAATGAGTGAAAGAAATTTAGTAAATGATAAATGCTACAAAGAAAATGTAATAAAGTAAGACAACAATTGACAGGTTGGGTAAGGTGGGTACAGCATGGTCAAGAAAGGGAATTACATTTCATCAGAGATGTGACTCATGGTAGAAGCCAGCTGTTTGAAGATCTGTGAAAGTGTGGTCTAGGAGGGGACAGCAAATGCAAAGGCCCTAAGGTGGAAATGAGACAAGCAGAAAGAAGGTCACGGTGGCTGATGCATATGATGGAGAAGAACGTAGGTCTGAGGATTAGTACAAATTGCAAGTGCACAGCAGACATTCTTCCACAAGATTTTAAGTGGAAATCTTCCCTAAATATGAACAAACTAGGTGACAGAACAACATTGTGTCAACTCTGCCGGCCACCAGCAGATGGCAACAGCAGTAGCATATCTGGTGTCATTTCCTTGCAGGAACTTGTGAATTTGGGAACAATCCTTTAGACCAAGCCTGTTGCAGGACAGAGGCACCTCTGTGTGCTGGAGTTCTCCAGAGCCCAGAGTAGTCAGGTCCCAAGACTAAGTGAGCCAATCGGGCCACACACTGGGATTTGGGCTGGCTCAAATGGCACACAGAGAAGACTCCAGACTTGGGCCAGATGCAGAGTTTGGGAGTTTGGGATAAAGAGGAAAGTACACTTAGGGAGCAGTCATCAGACAGCAAAAGCCTGACCAGCAGCATATAAGCAAGGTGTGGGGAGGGGCCAGTTGAAGGTTGGTGCCAAAAATATCAGGCAGTACTGACCTAAGCAGGCCGCTGGCTTCCAGAGGTCTGAGGACATGGAAGTCAGGCGTGGGTAACACGACAAGAACTCCTGAGCAAATAGTTCTATTCAGATGAAGCAATTGAGGGGGAGTTGAAGGACTGGATGAAAAAGGTGAAGGGATTAAAAAGTACAAATTAGTAGTTACAAAATAGTCACAGGGATGTAAAGAACACCATAGGACACCATAGTCAATACTGTAGTGATGACTAAGTATGGGGCTGGGGGGGTACTGGAAATATCAGGGGGATCACTTTGTAAAGTATATGATTGTCTAACCACTCAGATTTTCACCTGAAACTAATATAAAATTATATTTAATGTAAACTATAATTGAAAAAAAAGGAAAGATAAAGAGTTTGAGAACAGAGTAAAACACAAAGAGCTCAGTAGTAGGAGGCAGCTTCTCAGACACAGACAAGCATTAAAGTTGGTACATG